ATGGCAGTAAGTTAGTAAAGAAAGAAAAGAAAAAGCAAAAAGAAAGAAATAAAATAAAAGGATTAGTGAGGGAAGAGCAGCATAAAAAAAAAGACATACTACAAATTATTCATAATTGTGATGGGAAACAAATACTTGTTGGGAAGGTAAAATTATTGCTCAGAAAAAAATTACAGCTTAGAAAAAAAAAATACAAACTAAGGTGGACATTTTGTACTTAAACATACCACGGTTTATTCTTCCTCTGTTTGAGCCAATTTTTGTATTTTTGGGGGCATCAGTCCCATACATGTTACAGTCATAGGTTTTTGGCCAAATATGATACATACAATAACGAGTGGGGATAGGGTATCCGTGCTATACGGGCATGTTTTGTCTTCTCGGCGAATCTGACCGGAATTCCGTTGACATACCGATTTATACGGTCCAAGCCACTGCTTTACAAACCTGATGGTGCAGCGTCCTCGGATCACCCCTTCAGCCATTCAAAAACCGTCTCATTTTTAGCCTTAGTGCTTATGCTCTTCTACAAACAAAACTTAGTTGCCACGGAGCCGCCAGCGAAAAACAACAATTTCCTATCGTGTGCAACTTTAGCTCTGCTTTGGTAAATTATATAATTGAGCTTGAGAACTATCCAAAAGGTGAACGGAGTTTCAAAGCTGAGTTTACAGTATTTTTTCTAAGTTTTGCCTTTTTACGCTGTCGATTTGATTCACGGCGAAAACATTGTAAAAGTTAACGGCATTTTATGGTTTCGTTGAGATGTCCGTTGACCAATAAAATACTGTATCGTGCCTTAAAAAACGTATTTCCGCGGTGTCGTGTGTAAGTACTTTGTTGATCTTGGGACTGGGAATAAGGACTAGATTCTTGTAAACAAGTGTCTTGGATGGGCGGCCTTTGGTCGCCTTAATGGTCTGCTTTGACCTTGCTGGTCTTCTACTAGTGCTCTTCCCACTAGCTCGGTTCGAACCAAGTCGGTTCGGAAAGAGAGTGGCAAGCCGAGCTAGGATAGAACTGTTAGAGTCCGGCGTCGTCGAGGACTGAATGGCACGTTCGTTCGACTGAAGTTCCTCGTTGTTTACCTTACGATCTCCGTTGTTCGGCTGACTCACAGAGACTGCCGTTGAATTCATCCGAGGTATTACATTTCTCGTAAAACCAGGTCTCAAATTACATAAAATCTCTAAAGCAGCCGCGGCCGCACGACAAGTAGTCGATACCTCTTCCTCCATGTAGCTGAAAGCCAAAATGGCGGAAGGGAAAAAAATAGTGCTAGCGGTCATGTGATGACGTTTGCATACTAATTAGAAAGAAAATAAAAAATCCCACTCGGAACGAAAAAAAACATGGAATAAATATAAAAAATATAGAACGCATATAAAATGAAGAGAAAAAATAGAAAATAGATGAGCTAAACACGCATATGTGAATTGATACGAAGAGATTTTTAAGTTTATAGAAGGAAAATGAAAAATAAAGAAGCAAAATAAAAAATATACAGAAAGGAAATAAAAAATATGACAAAGAAATGTAATGGATGTATTGTATATTAAGGTTGTTTGAATATTGACTGGAAAGGCGCGCCATATGTGAGCACTAATTCGGCTAAGTGTAGTAGTGTTTCAGATTTAGGTTCCTTAACAGTACGTTGATCAAAAAAATGTTTAAGGGCCAGAAGACCTTCGCCATTAGGAATGACAGTGTAAAGAGACGTAATATCCATGGCAAAAAGAAGTTTGTTTTGGCCAAGGAAATTAGAGTCGCGAAAAATTTGAAGAGCTTGTTGGCTGTCTTTAAGATATGATCGTAAAGTTGAGGGGTGAGGGTCGGTCAAAACTCTTGTCCTCAGTATTTTCGGGCCCGTTTTTCGAAAGTCCCGGTAACTTAACGGGCCCGAAGCCAAGTTTTAAAATCAAAATTTAAGGGATAGGAAGGCAGGTTCTAGCACCCAAACCAGTCCTTTTTATTTCTTTAGCTGATAGTTTTATTGTCATTTTCAAAACTTTTGAAATTCCCATCTTGAATGAAAACAGAACAGCTCTTGCGAACCCACTAAGTTACTGGGACTTTCGAAAAACAGGCCACAGGACCTCTAATATTTCCCTGATATTTCAGTAGAGGACGATTCATCAATGTTCCGAGACTTCTATTCGGATTTCACGGCCTTTCTCCTTGGTCCCATACATTTTCCAGCCAGGCATTCAATCCTCGTGAGCAAACTTTACTCTGTTCTCTTTACCAAACAAGCATTCAGTGAGAATCTCATTTAACGCAAACCTCCAGTCGCTCAGGTTGTCACTTATAATTCAGACCGTGCTGTCATTTTTTGCTATATCGTTTCCTTTGTAGTCAGTCTGTATCACATCCGGGAGGTTAGACTGTGATGCGCTCTTACAGGAACAAGTCAAACTGGTTTCAACAGATGCGTGTTCTTTTCTGCTTTCCTCTGAGGTCTACGGGGAAAAGTATTTTGGCAAGTAGCGTTAATTTGATAAATTACTTCAAATCCTGCTGAATCAACACCCAACTTGTAAAAGACTTGAGTCTTTCAAAAAAAATCTATCCTTTGAAAGACAACACAGACATAACACTTTCATCAGGAAATTAGTACAAATTCCTTGACTTTCACTCTTGTTCCTTAACTCCTTACACCTCAACATCAATATACATATTCTCCCTACTCAGGTTCTCTGTACATTTCCTAAGGTGCTGACAAGGAGAATCTGTGTGACAATCAAGAGCTCCTTTAGTTGGTGATCATTTCCTTTATTCTTGTGACTTCAATATGTGATTTAGGTGTGATATTTTGAGGAGAAAATAGTTGCTAGTCACTCTTAAGAATCCAGGGGTTGAAAAAAAAATAGCGCTTCTAAGTCAAAGAGAGTATTTTTTAAAAGAAAAGAATAAAGTAAAAAAGAGGCGTCGCCCTTTAATTTGATTTGATTTTAAACATGGCTTCTCGTTTTGATAAGTTCCTTTCCTAGTTCGAAAAACTTCTGTTCCTTTTCGCTCTGTGATTTGTATAAGAAACGCGCCGTCCTTTCAACCAATCAATCCAAAGAAAGAGACAGACTCAATTTTTCCCGCTCGTGAGATCGATTGCCAGTGTGAGCGTCAGGTTATGATCGGCTTTGGAAAAATTTTCGTTGGTTCTCAAAGAGTATTATGATAACTTGTGTATAGATTTCAATTACTGATCTTGAATAAGACACTCTTCAACCATAGTTTAGTTTTCATACGACAAAAATCTTTTGGGGAAAAATTACCGCATTGCCAACTCTTACTACAAAGGGTTTTAAGCGAAAAGCTATCAAAAGGGAACTTACTTTTAAAATCCTTTTTAGTGCAAAACCAAAGCATTCCCAGATTACTTCCGATACTCAATAAATAATTACTTTAATTAAAATATTGAAATACCTGGTTTGACGTTGGTGTACAGCTTCTCGGCTCATTTTGACCGTCAGTTTGATTCTCGCCTTTTTCCTCATTTAACTGAGCTTCTGTTTGTTCCGCGTTCTCCTGTAAATATTCATCCTCTATGTTTTAAAAAGAGAGAGATTTATACATTTTAACACGCTGGCTAATACGGTTTTGTTCAGTTACTAAATTGTATTTATAAGTAATAAACCTTACTTTACAACTAGAGTTCTATATACATGGTTCGATAGATAGATAGATAGTTTATTATCAAAAACCTTGCAGCCACAGGCTGAATTACGTTTGATTTACAATAAAATATATACTACAAAAAATACATGGCTAAGAAGAACTAATTAAAAAGACAAAAATATATAATTAAGAGAAAAACAATATTACATCATTGCTTTATGGACATAGTGATGGATAAAACTATTTCGAGTACGAATGGTGTGGAGGCGCCGTGTAGTAAAAGAGTGCTGACTCCTTAAATTGACTTCGCACTCATTCTTGGGAGGTAGTAAGCTATAGAGCTTGTGCGAGGGATTAGACAGGATGGAATTAAAAAGCTTATCACATAAGAACTCGCGGCGGTTGTGTAAGGGAACTAGACCAGTCAAAAGAAGCGCCTCATTGTACGAACAATCTGGATAGATAATACGTAAAGCTCGCCTTTGACATCTCTCAAGATCTACTGAAAGGTATTGCGGGAGGCTATGATGATAAACAGGGCATGCATATTCAGTGACAGGCCTAATACAAGTCAAATAGAAGAGCAAAAGTTCCTCCGACTTGACCTGTGCACGCTTAAGCTGACGCAAAAAATACAGGCGCTTGTTTACTTTCTTTACAACTTCGGATACGTGATTATTCCACGTGAGATCGCAAGATATCTGCAAACCTAAGATCTTTGCTTGCTCTACACACTCTAAGTNTAAGTTGTACATATACATGAACTCGACTGAAACTGTCTAACTGTCTTTGTTGATATATCCAAATTATTTCGTTACTCCCACCGACGCAGCCCCAAACAGTTTCTTTCGAAACTATCAGCCTTTATTCAGTTTGTAATTATCTTCCAATTCTTAACGTGAGGTTTCAGATTAGTGTGTGTGGGTGAGGTTTAAAAAATGGTTAGTTCGTTAGACGCTTCAAAAGGGTTTCGTGAGTTAAAAAACTAATTACTTAATGGATCGCAGCTTCCACACTCTCTTGTTTCCTTCTTTAAACATGGTAGTAAAGAAAGCCAACTTTACACTCAACAAAATGTTGGCCCAGCAGTGTTACTATAAAAACGTTTACATGGCAAGCCTCTTAGGACACCTTAAAGTTTAGTGTCTGTATCTCAAAGAGAAAGATGTATGGATCTCCATTCTCCTTCGAAAGAAAAATCCAAAGTCTAAAAAATTTCTATCATGCGTGCAGACCCTCCTTTATTTTGATAACTTGGGAAGGCTTCAAATCGTATTATCAGATTTTTTGAGAACCGTTGTAGAAAAAGTATAGGAGCTACGATCCATCAAAAACTTGGTGTTTCAAAATAACGACATCATTTTGAGCCAACCCTAAACTAGCTCAATTTTTTGAAACCAGGTGTTCACACTGCTATGTTACCTTGTATTAAAGGTCGGAGGATGTTGATTTTTTTTAAACCATCGCGAAGAAAACGCGTTTAAATATATCCCTTGATCTATGTCTAAAACGTGTTTCGTTTTTACTCTACAGGATGCCAGTGGATCACCAAATAATTGGGGCCCGTCTCCGAGAAATTGGAGACGAGGTGAACCAAAGTGGACAAAGAAACCGTTCGAGTACGAGTGAACAAATACTTTTCCTAATGCTCTTCCTCATACTCTTACGTACTCCATGTCCTATACAGCACAAACGTAAGGATTGAAGTGGATTACGAAAAAACATTTTATTTCAAGTTTAAAAGAGAACACTTGGCAACAGCCGGTGGAAGATTGTACAAGGATTCAAAGTGTCGGGATGAAAAACAAGAGGCAAGCTCCAAAAGGAAATTATATGCCTGGAATCTTTCAGAGAAACTTGTAGATATAAATCAATTTATAAAATACATTTAAGTAAGTCTGTCATATGGGAATTAAAATTTGTTTCAGGCAGTTTAAAAATGGCCTGTATTAATATTTAACAAATTGAATGTAATCGTTGAACAACATTTCATATTAAATTGGCGACTGAATGATTAATTTAATGCCATTATCACTCAATTTTTGGAATCGGAAAACCACCAAAAAGATGCTTTACAAGTTCTTTGAATTGAAAAATGAAATTAATCGTCCCTTTCTTGATAAATTAAATACAACCGCGAGGGGACTCTCGGTCTAATAAAGAATTATATGTTGTAAATTTTATGGGAAGTAGTATTTATATTGAGTATAGTTAAGATTATAGTTCACCACTAAATTTTCTCTGGTTCTTATTGGTTTAAATCGATCACGTGACGCGATAGTGTTCATCCGTGGAGAGACACTATCAGCCCATAGTGTCCGCCCGCGGAAAATACCCGAATGGATAGTGCCGTCCGCGGAAAAGACCTGGATTGATAGTACTCATCCGTGAAAAGTTTTGAATAGTTTGACGGCCGCGAAGTTAGGCAGATCGGAAAAACAGTGACTTTTCAATTCTGACAGGTATAACGTATTATTTAGCCAATGTACGGTTGCGAATTATTGACATTTGTGACAAGCTGTAGGCGCGGAAGAAAATTTAGTGGTGAACAATAAAAACAATAGAGTGTTTATGTCTCGGAACTATCGGTCTGATAGTTGCCCCTTGGAAATTTGATGTTCTTAAAACTAGCATATTTGTTTTAAGAACATCAAATTTCCGCGGGGCAACTATCAGCCGATAGTTCCTCGACAGAAACACTCTATTGTTTAAATAGAATCGTTCAGATGAAAGGATTAGCCTTTTTTAAGGAAATGCTTTGCATGAATGATTAATTATCTTAACTAAACACAGCATTAAAGCAGTGAGTTCTCTTACGAATAGCATTTAAAAGTAATTGCGCAAATACAGACAGGTGTTCTATGTCGCTCATTTTTATTTATTTAGCTCAATCAATTAGGCGTCCAAAAATTACGGTTTCATAATGAACTCCGCGATGATCCATTAAAACTGGACCAAACTATTCTTTAAATTCAAAGACACGAATCGATTGATGATTCTTTAGGATCAATAGTAGTATCTGAGCAATGGCGCACCCACCCCTCCCATAATCCAATTTTAATCCTAACTTTTAATCAGGGAGAGATGGGTGTGCAGTCACTCCTATCCTCATAATGATCCAATCGGTTGTTTACCGCTTGACGGCCAAAATCTTGACCCTAGAACTCAAAGGCTTTCCTGATATATCAGCAGAGGACAATTCATCAAGCTTCAGAGACTTCTTTTTGGAATTCACGACCTTTCTCTTCTAGAGGGAGCACCTGATGCCATTCAAGAAAGCACATCTTCCAGCTAGGCATTCAATCCTTGTGGGAGAACTTTCCTCTCCGGTCTTTCTTTACCAAACAACATTCAGCGAGAATCTCACAAAGAAAATTAATCGCAATCAACCGGTCGCCCAGGTTTTCACTCACTATTCAGACCGTGTTGTCATTTTTCGCTATATCGTTTTCTTTGTAGTCAGTCTGTATCACATCCGGGAGGTTCGACTGTGATGCACTCTTACAGGAACAAGTCAAACCGGTTTCAACAGATGCGTGTTCTTTTCTGCTTTCCTCTGAGGTCTACGGGGAAAAGGATTTTGACAAGTAACGTTCATTTGATAAATTATTTCAAATCCTGCTGATTCAGCATCCAACTTACAAACGACTTGAGTCTTTCAAAAATTTTAACCGTTTAAAGGACGATACAGCCATAAAATCTTTCACCATCATGGAATTAGAAGAAATTCCTTGATTCTAACTATTTGTTCCTTAACCCTTCCATCTTAACATCAATATACATATTCTCCATACTGTTCTTCACACATTTCCTGAGGTGCTGACATGGAGAATCTGTTTAACAATCAAGAGCTCCTTTAGTTAGTGATCATTTCCTTTATTCTTGTGAGCTCAAGGGGTGATATTATAAGAAGAAATTAGTTGCTAGTCACTGTTAGGAGTCCAAGGACTAAAAACAAAACAAAACAAAACAAAAAAAGCGCTTCTCAGTCAAAGAGTGCGTTTCTTAAAAGAAAAGAATAAACCGAGTAGAAAAGAGGCGTCGCCCTTTGATTTGATTTTAAACATGGCTTCTCGTTTTGCTAAGTTACTTCCTTAGTTCGAAAAACTTGAGTTCCTCTTCGCTCTGTGATTGGTGTAGGAAACGCGCCGTCTTTTCAACCAATCAGTCCAAAGATAGAGACTTAGAGATTCCATGTTTCTCGCTAACGAGGTTGATTGCCAGTGTGAAAGTCAGGTTGTAATAGGCTTGGAAAAAAATGTTCGTTTGTTCCCAAAGAGAATTGTAACAACTTGTGTTTCGATTTAAAATTTCCGATCTTGAATAAGACACTCTTCAAACATAGTTTAGTTCTCATACAACAAAAATCTTTTGGGGAAAAATTACGGCATTGCTAATATCTTACTAAGCAGGGTTTTTAAGCGGACAGCTATCCAAAGTGACGTTAACTTTCAAGATCCTTTTCGAATAAAACCAAAACAATCCCAAATCATTTCCGACATTCAATAAATGATTGCTTTAATTAAATAATTACAATACCTGATTTAATGTTGGTGCACAGCTTTTCAACTCATTTTGGCTGTCAGTTTGATTCGCGCCATTTTTTCCCGTGAACTGAGCTCCTGTCTGTTCAACATTCTTTTGTAAATATTCATCCTCTATGTTTGAAAAAGAGGGAGATTTACATATTTTAACACGCTGACTTTGTTTAGTTACCAAATTGTATTTATTTATAAATGATAAACTTTACTTTTCAACTGGAGTTTTATAGACGATAAATCCTCTAATAAGCCCCCCTTCTAATAAGCCCCCCTCTAATAAGTTCCCCTCTAATAAGCCACCACCCTCTAATAAGCCAGCCCCCTCTAATAAGCC